TTAGTAAACAATATCTGAAAAACATTATTTGCACAGATAAATTAGTCTGTTTATTTTTAAGCATAAATATCTATACAAGAAGCTATTTGTGCTGTGCCCACTACGAGTATCGAAACCCAATTTTTAACGTCATAAATCCAGAGACTTGCCGCTGACCTACGAGGGTGCTCAGATGAATATACATTAAAATTTGTCTGTTACAGCAACGTTTGCTCAACCATATATAAAACTATGTGTAGCAGAGGCATCAACCTTTGTTTATTTTATTTTATTTCTGGATATATATATATCAATTCACAAATTGTTTCATTTTCAAAACTTCCTGCTCCCCCCCTCCACCTGTGGTTCAGAGGTAAGTCTGAAGGCTTATAAAGCAAAAACCGGGTCTCGAGTTTCGACACTATGTGTGAGCACAGTACAGATAGTCCATTATTTTGCCTTGTGCTTCCCAGCAAACAAACTTCTATGAAATTAATTGATACAAACTACGAATAAGGTACTCCATATAATAGATCTATATGCTGTTTTCATATATGTCATTCTATATAATTACTTTTACTTCACTAATTACTCTACGGTCACTTGTTTAACAGCCACTCAACATTAAGCTGTTAAATCATTCACTTTCGACTTTTAGGTTAATGAAAACCACGCAGTAATGATTAAAGTTTCGTCAATGCTACAGAGCTAGATTTATAGACTTATTTTAAATGTATAAGTTTGAGGATATTTTTCAATCTAACATTTGCACGTGATGTTCAGCCTGGTGTAATTTTACGAAGGATATCCACTAATACGTATCTCTAAATGCCTTGTGTTCTAATACGATATAGAACGTTGCAACGACAGAGAGCTTATTATGACACACTAAAACTTGATCTGTTGTCATAATTATAGCTTGAAAGTAACGACGTAAATTCACTTGAAACAAAACAGAAGCAAATACGACCAACCATGTCAACAAAACAGTCCAACTCAACTTAACAGATGGAATTATTTCAATATAAGCTGACTTTAATTAATTTACAAGACTTCATTCAAGGTATAAAGGGTGTAACATGAATTTCGTAAAAAGCTACTGCCTAAAAATAGCAATGTGTATAATTAAAGAAGTAACATGTTTGCGTGCGTGGGTGTTCGTGTGTTAAAGTTTAGTGTGTGAATTTTTCATTTGTTTATAAACACTTAGAGTACCGGCACCATCACCCTCTTGATTTTTAATACTTGCCCCCGATACCCAGGGACTCTCAAAGTGTCGCTAGATCTGGTGTTTCTTACTGGTTAAGTCGATCGGTTTGTCATTTTTGAATTCACATTCGATTCATAGTGTCTTTTACAGTAGAAGCGTTTTGAGGGTAGCACGTGTTGTGGAATAGGTTTAACTCACTTAGGTGTAACCTCGCAGTCATTGAGACGCCCCGTACGACCATCAGGTTCATTTGGAACTCTGCGTACCTAACCTCTTACGTGACAGTCTAGGCAGGTCACTTAAATGTTTTAATTACTTTAAATATACAGCACTGATTTTTACATTTTATAAACTTTGTGCATTCGAATACAAGATACCACAACCCCAAAATATATTTCGTACGTGAAGTAAGAGTTCTCCCTCCTGTAAAAAAATAAAATGAGATCGTGGTTTTTGACGTTTCTGCGTTTTAATGGAATATCAATACATTTATATAGGTGTAAATACGATCCATAGCACAGAAGCTTTCACTGTATTAAGAAGTGCTAAATATATCTTATTTATTTTAGAAATAAAACTCGGGATAACGATATTAAAGCACTGACAGAAGATCCCATCAAATCCGCAGTACAGAAAGATATTAAAGCACTTACAGTAGATCCCATCAAACCCGTAATACAGAATGATATTAAAGCATTTACAGTAGATCCCATCAAATGCGTAATACAGAATGATATTAAAGCATTTACAGTAAATCCCATCAAATCCGTAATACAGAAGAATATTAGAGCATTTACAGTAGATCCCATCAAATCCGTAATACAGAAGAATATTAGAGCATTTACAGTAGATCCCATCAAATCCGTAATACAGAAGAATATTAGAGCATTTACAGCAGATCCCATCAAACCCGTAATACAGAAGGATATTTAAGCACTTACAGTAGATCCCATCAAACCTGTAATACAGAACATTAGTTATTCAACAGTTGATGTGAAAAGGAAGGCCACTTTAGTAACTGTGTAAGTCCTTCATACGTCTACAGCAGTTTAGATTAGATTAGATGAGTTCTGTCACACGTCTAAAGCAGTTTAGACAAAACTGGATCCCCGTCCCGCCAAACATGCTCGCCCTTTCAGCCGTGGGGACGTTATAATGTGAAGGTCAATCCCACTATTCGTTGGTAAAAGAGTAGTCCAAGAGTTGGCGGTGGGTGGTGATGACTAGCTACCTTCCCTCTAGTCTTGCACTGCTAAATTAGGGACGGCTAGCGCAGCTAGCCCTCGTGTAGCTTTGCGCGAAATTCAAAAACAAACAAAACTGGGTAAGTCCTGTCACACGCCAGAGCAGTTTAGACAAAACTGGATAAATCCTGTTATGCGTCTACTGCAGTTTAGACAAAATTAGACGAGTCCTGTCCTAATTCTACACCAGTTTAGATAAAGTTAGACAAGCCCTGTCACACGTCTACAACAGTTTAGACAAAATTAGATGAGTCCTGTCATACTTCTACACCAGTTTAGATAAAATTAGACAAGCCCTGTCACACGTCTACAACAGTTTAGACAAAATTAGATGAGTCCTGTCATACTTCTATACCAGTTTAGATAAAATTAGACAAGCTCTGTCACACGTCTACAACAGTTTAGACAAAATTAGATGAGTCCTGTCATACTTCTACACCAGTTTAGATAAAATTAGACAAGCTCTGTCACACGTCTACAACAGTTTAGACAAAATTAGATGAGTCCTGTCATACTTCTACACCAGTTTAGATAAAATTAGATAAGTCCTTTTATACGCCAGCTGTTGTTTAGACAAAATTATCTGCCCGTATGTTTAGATATTTGCACGGATAAAACTTCTTGTGCTTGGAACAGCGAAATTTCCTTCCAATATGTTCAGCAGTGTGGGCCTGTGGCTGTTTACTTACACACCTGTAGTTAAATCTTGGGCTGCATATTTATCCCTGTAAATCCTACATTACCTGTTGTTGTTGTTAAACGGATACAATTCAAATGGCTTCTGACAGTCCAATACAATCGCCCAACTGTATATCATTTGATATTCTTGTATCCGTCAGAGTTGCGCCATATCCCTCCCCCCCCCCGGTGTTTACACCTTCGTTTCACGGAGAACAGGTAAACTCACCTGACTAGTAGAACCAGCAGCCATTACACACAAAGTTAAATGTGCGTATAAAGACTTAGAGGTAACGTTGCTACTATACATATATGACATATCATACGAAAGCGACACCATTTGCTTGAGGAACAAGTAACAAGCTAAGAAGCCACTAATAAAATTCCTAAAGGCATAACGTATAGTTATTTTGTTAGTTTGTGTGAATTTCGTCCAAACCTATTCGAGGGTTTTCTACGTCCCCAATTTTAAAGTAATGGACTAGAAGGAAGGTAGCTACTCTTTACCAATGAATAGTGGGATTTGCTGTAATATTATAACGCCACCATGGATGAAAGGTCGAGCGTGTTCGGTAAGAGAGTTCGATACCTTGACCCATAGACTACGAGTCGAGTGCTCTAAGTGCTAGCCCATGCCAGACATTATAGCATATAGGCTAATATTTAATGTTTGCATAGTAACGAAATAATCACTCGGAGAATATATACGTGTGAAATAGTTTTATAAAATCTAAAAAGAAAAAAAATCATAATATCAATTCTATATTTATTTATAGACTTCTAGTATCCTCATACACTGTAGTCAGATTACGTTTACACACGCATAAAGATCAGTGTATAAAGTGTAGATTTCATTCGGTGATCTTGCTCAGTTATTTATCAACTTCAAGTAAAAGCTACCTTTAACCCTAGAATTACTGTTGTGGTCCATACAGATCCCATCGCCATTTTAACTGTATTTTCTAAGCTATTTCTGCGACGTATTGTTTGTGTTTCCATGACTTTGTTGGTTACACCATCCCGAATAACATTTAAACAAAAACACCACCAGCATGACAATCAATTCTTCTGATTACTGCTGCTCTTGTTGTTCTTTTTCCTAATGTATTTTTACATAAAAAAATTAGATTTTAAGGTTTGGCCCAGTATTTCAGAGTGAGTGTTGTAACAGACAAAATCATAAAATTATGCGTCATGATGCAATATTAGGATCTCGCTGCTAGTGAGAGATACAAAAACGAGTCAGTAATCTGAGGATTAAATTATAGACATAGAACACGGGTGATCTGAAGATTAAATTATAGACATAAAACAAGTGATTTGAAGATTAAATTATAGACATAGAACACTGGTTAGCTGAGGATTAAATTATGGACATAGAACATGGGTCAGATGAGAATTAAATTATAGACATAGAACACGGTGATCTGAGGATTAAATTATAGACAGAACACGGGTGAACTGAGGATTAAATTATAGACATAAAACAAGTGATCTGAAGATTGAATTATAGACATAAAATACGGGTGAACATGGACCAACCTTGTAAGACAGATAATAGTTTTTACTTGCGCCCCCCCCCCCGTAGTTCAACAGTAAGTCTGAGGGCTCACACTGCTAAAAACGGGATTTCGATACTCGTGGTGGGCACAGCACAGATAGCCCATTGTGTAGCTTTGTGCTTACAAACAAATTCTACTTATGTTCTGTCATGATAAATGCTATATATATACGCGCATTAAGCCTAACTTCCGATTCGCACTCAGTTTTAGCATCTTTTCATTACAGTCAATAATTAAGAGATGTGTGTTGAATTAAAACCAGTTTTATTACAAATTAATAGACGAAAAACAAAATATTTCTAACAATATGTGGATTTCGTGGCTTACCCGTGTGGGTTCTTTTGTGAATCTTGAGGTTTTCACCCCTGGCAAATACCTTCCCGCAGCCATTGAAAGGACAGGGAAAAGGCTTTTCCCCCGTGTGTACCCGTATGTGGTTGATCAACTTGTACTTGGCCTTAAACGGCCGCGATTCACGGGCACAATTCTGCCAGAAACATGTATGATTTGAACACTCGGGACTGCTAACATGTTCTACCGTGATATGAGACACAATATCGTGCATGGAATAAAAAGTTTTGTTGCAAGGTTTTTTAGGAGTTTGTTGTTCACGGTCTATCCACAGACACGTCATTTCCTGTTTTATTGACTGTCGCATGTACCTGAAAAAACCTCCTGTACCGTGAGGAACCATGCTCATTTGACTCATGTTCATGGCACCATAGGTATCGGTCAAGTGGTCAGTCCTCGAACTGGGTATTTGGTTAAATGTGTCTGGTCGTCCGTAAATATCCACTCTGGGTAACGATAACCTGACCTGGCCGTTAATATGTCCACTGTGGGGGGCTGCAGAGTACTCCAAACCAGGAAAGAGCACGTGTGTGGAGGAAGGGTCTCCTGTGTGGTGAGACCCGTGAAGATTCGCTGAGGAGGATACAAACATGCCATGGTGCTCGGGCCTGTTGCTGCTGAGCCTGTCGTGTGTAGCTAAGGTACTTGCCAAAGTCGGCATGTGTTCTCTTCGGAGAAAAAAATCTCGTGCAGCGTAACCGCTGACGTGTCCATGGTGATGAGCATGGGTGAGAGTTCCAGCGTAACCGTTAACCTGAGCTGGAAATTGGTGGTTTCCTTGCGTGTGGGTTCTTGTCGATTCACATGACATAGCGTGCGATGGGCTCAACTTAAGGGCACTCACGTGGGCTGGGTCCATGAAGGGGTTTAACATTTTTGATCTGTCGAGTTCACGAAATGACTGTATAGCTACTCCATTGATAATCTACTTATGCTCAAGGTCTGAGTGAAATAAAGCGCGTGTGTGTGCCAGCTACGTTTACTAGGCGCAATACGGATTTCGGAATATGAAACCATGGTTCATAATCGTATTACTAGTGCACGGCCGTCACGTCCTTAGTTCTGGTGCTCTGAATAAACGCTTCGACTTTTGAAGCGTGCGACAAGTCCTCGTGATATGTTCACCCCTCAAACTGGCAGTTGGTTCCCTACTAGGAGCAAAAAGGTGGAGGGGGTAGTTTTTCTTGATACTAATTGGCTAATAGAGAACTTGTAGGCAGAACTTGAGTGACGTGGAGAAAATCAATAGCCTAACCCTAAATCATTCTTAGATTTTCAGGTAGGCGTGGCTCAAATTGTTAATGGTCAGATATCATTGCAGTTGTGTGAAAAGTCGAGTAGCCCCTTCGGCCAAGCTGGAAGGCACTATTATATCAACTAAAGATTTATACTGCTGGAAAAGGCTCCCAGTGGCTGTTTTTCTACTCAATGTTCTAATCAAACTGTCAGAGTATTTCTTTAACAGAAGCATTTAGTACTAAGATAAAGAACTCATTTGACCGCATATCAGTAAACTAGTACTTTGTTTAGACACTTCTATAAAACTCCAGACTGTAACCTCTTTACGTATTGGTACTTTCCGTTATTTACCGTAACATATCACTAAACTAGTACTTTGCTTAGATACTTCTGTTTTACTGTAATTCCAAAACTCCCGACTATAACCTCTTTACGTATTGGTATTTTCCGTTATTTACTGTTCTAGAAGCGCGTGTCATTATTCATTACATGCTTACGAAGATTAAACAATACCTACAAAAGTTTCTATATCAAATGAATGTGATTCTCAGCTCCTTGCTGTTATGACTTAATATTCCCATTTTTTATGTCAATCATACACTCTCAAAGTAATTGAAAGCTTTTCTCATGCACGAGTGTCTGTTTTGAATATATTATTAAGCCTTATTGTAAATAGATTTCTACTAAATGATCCGGCTATTTTGAAAGCATACTTTTGAATGTGGCAGCTAAATAGTTTTCTCTCTGTTGCTGAAGTCCGTTTTGAATCAAGACGCACAAGCACATTAACGTAATAAATAAAACTATCTTACAGGTAGAATGACAGTTTTTATGTTGACTTGTTTTGATTAACAAAATATTAATTTCTAAAGTAATTGTTAGGTGTTTTTATTTTGGTTATCAAGTAAGGATAAGGCTTTAGCAAAACTTTTTATTTGTATTAGAAATCATTAGTTTTACCGGAACGTACATATTGGATTTAACTACGTAGATTTAATTCATCAGCAATGTTCCCGGGTGGTTCAGAGGTAAGTTTCAGGGCTTTTAATGCTAAAATTCGGGATTAAATTTTCGCGGTGAACAAAGCTCAAATAACCCATTGTGTAGCTTATTGCACTAAAACAGACACAGACTTTTCTGCAACTGTTGACTTGCGTAAGGAGTATCAAATGTCAGGAGGAATAACTTGTGGTTGGAAACATCTACAAGTTGCTATATATATCCAAACCAAACATCAAACTGCGTTCAAAGCCAGCACATACCAATAAAAGTGCCATCCCTCAGTGCTAAATTAAACGTCCGTTTCACAGTGATATAAACTTGACTAGAGCTACAAGTTCAACGATGTTGACTGCCTACAAAATCAGTTTACGAAGTGCGCATACCAGTATTTTTTGACATAGTGCATTCGAAAAAAATGTGTAAACCAAACTAATATGACTTTATCGAAGGTGTTTATATAACATGAAGATTACACATTTTTCTATTTCTCCAGCTTTCATAAGTAGCTATGAATATAACACAGAGTTACCGCTGCGACCACGCTCGCTGAGCCGCGGGATAGCTCCTTGGAAGAGTAAGCGTACGTATAGTTTACCATGACACCATCTTATGTTGTAGCTTTGTTGAGGGTCCTTTTATCAAGTTCAACCAACAACATGGATCATGAAAGGGTCAGTGAAGTGGGAAGATGAGGAGGGAGTTGAAATAATGTGATCTCGTGAATCAATGAGCTCGTGAAACATACAAAAATATTAGATATAGAAATATTAAAGTCTTGATGCTATTTGAAAACGTAACAAAAGGATTTGGGTGTGTTTGAGATGGTATCAAGCGTACTACGTGTTAACATATTCTCATCTGTATTTAAACCACATACATGAGTTGCACTGCACGTGACTACAGCATCGTATTATCTTCACTCTGAAAACTAGGCCACGTTCCAGTAGAATAACGTGTTTTACGTTAACACGAATGGTGGTGAACGTAATGAACACTAAACAAACAGTGACAGTTTCTAAGGGAAACAGACAAGATTACGTCAAATATTTTGCTCGATGCATCGGTTGTAAATACAGCAGCCGCTAGTTGGCCGGGTAGTAAATGACGAAGATGTCGGAATGCAGTATTATTATATGTAGTTATTAATGAAGGGTTTGGATCAAAGAATGTGGCTTTAGTTTTTCCAAAGACTGAGATAACAGAAGAGTTAGGTATTTTGCTCAGCCCCGTTTGTCCATCGTCTGAGTTTAGGTTGACCGCCATATTTGCGATAGCTTGACGAGCTAGCTCCCCAAATCATTCGACTCTGTTCGCGAATGTTATGACCGCGTGTTGTTGGAACGTTTATCTCGCAAAATGTTCGCAAACGTAACGGCACTAGAACGTGGCCCTGTATTTGTGATTGTTCTGTTTTAGGAAGGAAAAGGTAAGTACATGTACATTAACAAAAGTTCTGTATATAGTCAGGTGCTAATATTACGACTGTAGATTATCTTACATCTACAACAACTACTGTCTTGTTCTTTATACATCCATCATGTTTTGTTCTTTATACATCCACAGCAAACACTATATCTGGTCCTTTATACATCCATAGCAAACACTATATCTTGTTATTTAGGCACCTAAAGCAAGCACTGTCTTCTTTATACATCCACAGCAAACATTATATCTTGTTATTTAGACACCTACAGCAAGCACTGTCTTCTTTATACATCCACAGCAAAAACTATATCTTGTTATTTATACATCCACAGGAAACACTATATCTTGTTCTTTATGTGATATAGTGTTTGCTGTGGATGTATAAAAGAAGACAGTGCTTGCTGTAGGTGCCTAAATAACAAGATATAGTGTTTGCTGTGGATGTTTAAAAGACAAGATATAGTGTTTGCTATGGATGTATAAATAACAAGCTATAGTGTTTGTTGTGGATGTATAAAAAACAAGATATAGTGTTTACTGTGGATGTATAGAGGACAAGATATAGTGTTTGCTATGGATTTGTTATTTAGACACCTACAGCAAGCACCGTCTTCTTTATACATCCACAGCAAAAAAATATATCTTGTTATTTATACAGTTAAAGCACACACTTAACTTTTGCCATTTAAACATTCTTATATGATAATGCAACTAGTTTTCTTCAGCTGACATTAAAGCGCTGTTGTGTACATCCTTAGTTGCCACTAATCCTAATTATTTATCTTACATTTTGTTCTTTAAAAACTTGCAGGTAATAGATACTATCGAATGTTTTTCTTCATATATTCTAATTTAATATGTTGGCTAGATTATCCTCTAAATACGCCTATAAATATTTATTGTCAATTTCTCTTCTGGATTATCCACTAAGTAAGCCTTTGTTTTGTTCTGTAATTATCATATTTAATGAAAATAACTACAGCATCTTAGCTGACCTAAATCTGGTAGTGTGCATGTATCATTAGCTGAAGTGTTGCCAGTTCACTGCACATCCTTCAACTGGTCATAAATCTAGGTATCTTTTTACATCTCATTTGTACACATCTTTAGCCAACGCAGATTTTTGTTTTTCTTCGTACACCCGTAGGTGACAATAAATTTTAAGTATACAATTATACAACTCAACTTCATACACTTTTTGGTGTTATCTATGATGTGATGACCAAATTACCAATATACGCAGGGTGTATTATTTTATGCTGTTGGTTTCGACCAAACTGTTTTTGATGACAAACCTGTACAACACTATATATCTGCATAAGTTTTCAATGGGTCAGAAACCCATAAAACGCTGTGCACATACATAAGTTTCCAATGGGTGACAAGCCTGTACAACGCCGTACACACACGTACGTTTCCAATGGGTGACAAGCCTATGCAACGCTGTACACCTACATAAGTTTCCAATGGGTGACAAGCCTGTACAACGCCGTACACACACGTACGTTTCCAATGGGTGACAAGCCTATGCAACGCTGTACACCTACATAAGTTTCCAATGGATGACAAGCCTATGCAACGCTGTACACCTACATAAGTTTCCAATGGGTGACAAGCCTGTACAACGCCGTACACACACGTACGTTTCCAATGGGTGACAAGCCTATGCAACGCCGTACACACACGTACGTTTCCAATGGGTGACAAGCCTATGCAACGCTGTACACCTACATAAGTTTCCAATGGATGACAAGCTGGTACAACACTGTACACCTACATAAGTTTCCAATGGGTGACAAGCCTGTACAACGCCGTACACACACGTACGTTTCCAATAGGTGACAAGCCTATGCAACGCTGTACACCTACATAAGTTTCCAATGGGTGACAAGCCTGTAAAATGCCGTACACACACGTACGTTTCCAATGGATGACAAGCCTATGCAACGCTGTACACCTACATAAGTTTCCAATGGATGACAAGCTGGTACAACACTGTACACCCGCATAACTTTTCGATGGATATAGGTATTGAAATAACAGCACAATTAATTCGCATGCAAGTATACGAACTTGAACTTCGTGACTTTCAATTGCTATGGTAAAGTTTTGTTGTTCTTCCATTCTGCTCTTTTGTTATTTTATACCTCGGTGGTTCAGAGGTAATTCTCTATGGGATTATAACGCTAAAAATTGGGTTTTGATACCCACGGTATGCAGAGAACAGATAGCCCATTGTGTAACTTGTACTTTACAACAAACAAGAAACAACAACTTTTGTTATTTGATAATGACTATTCAATGCTGTACAGTAATTGTGCGATAGTCTTATTATATGGTGTTTAGTTAATTTTTTTTCCATTTTCTGCTCTCAAGTATGGGTATGTGTTGAAAATACTCCACTTTTTTTATGTGTTAAAGCTGATACGTCCC